AAAAAAAAAAAAAAAAAAAAAAAAAGAATTTTGACACAGACCTTACACTCTTTACAAAATTAAGGTTTTTCTGTTGTGTAAAGACACTAACGAGAATAGAAACCGAAGCTGGAGACTGGGAGAAAATATTTACAAAAGACACCTGCTAAAGGACTGTTATCTAAAATATACAAAGAACTCTTAAAACTCAACAGTAAGAAAACAAACAACCTGATTGTCAAAATAAACCAAAGACTATAACGTACATCTCACCAAAGAAGACATACAGATGGCAAACAAGCGTGTGAAAAGATGCTACACATCACATGTCAAGGAACTTGAAAGCTGAAATAACAATGACATACCACTACATACTTGCTGGAATGGCAGAAATCCAAAACACCAACACCACCAAATGCTGGTGAGGATGTGGAGCAACAGGAACTCTCATTCATTGGTGGTGGGAATGCAAAATGGTACAGCCACTTTGAAAGCTAGTTTGGCCAATTTTTCACAAAACTAAACATATTTTTATCATGTGATTCAAAGATTGTGTTCCTTGATATTATGTCCACACAGAAACCTGCACATGGATATTTATAGGAGTTTTATTCATAACTGCTAAAACTTGGAAGCAACCAAGATATCCTTCAGTAACTGAATGGATAAATAAACTATGGCACATCCAGATAATGGAAGAGTATTCAGCATTAGAAGGAATTGAGTATCAAGTCATGAAAAGACATGGAAGAAACTTAAATGTATAAATATTAAGTGAAAGAAGACAATCTGAAAAGGCTGTTTACTGTATAATTCCTACTATATGACATTCTGTAAAAGGCAAAACTATGGAGACAGTAAAAAGATCAGTGGTTGCCAGGGGTTATGGGTGAGAGAAGAAGGAATAGGTGGACACAGGATTTTTAGAGCAGTAAAACTCTTTATGATATAAAATTTTGTCCAAACCCATAAAAGTGCAACACCAAGAATGAACTCTAATATAAATTGTGGACTTTCAGCAATTATGATGTTTCAATGTAGGTTCATTAATTATAACAAATGCACCACTCTGGTGGGGGATGTTGATAATGGGGGAGGCTATGCATGTGTGGCAGCAAGGGGTATATGGGAAATCTCTGTATCTTCTCAGTTTTACTGTGAACCTAAAGCTGCTACAAAAAATGAAAGTCCACAAACTTGCAACTCAAAGTCAAATAAGTTCTGGAGATCTAATGCACTGCATAGTGATTATAGTCAACAATACTGTATTTTATACTTCAAAGTTGCTAAGAGACTAGGTCTTAAATATTCTTACCACAAAAAAGAATAATTATGTGACATGATAGAGGTGTTAGCTATGGCTATAGCAATAATCTTACTGCAATACATAAATGTATCAAATCAACCCATTGTATATGTACACCTTAAACTTACACAATGTTTTATGTCAACTGTATCTCAATCTTTTACAATAGCATTATAGAAAAAAATAAGTCTTAAAATTCTGTGATATTTGAGGTTATTAAGAAGCGCGTTTTTTAAAATATATTTTTCACATTCTTGAAAACAAAATTTTGTACTCGTTTATATCCTACTATGGCTACCCTCTGTCCTTTTACAAGCTTTAAAGATTAAAGGTCTTGAGGTTCCTCGCTCTGGAGCCCAAGAGAGACAACCCCCGGACCACAGGAGGACAGATGGGCCAGCACCCAGGGGGTCGAGGCTGAAGGCTGAGCAAACCCCTCGGAGCCCAGCCCGAGGGGCGGGGGAAGCAGGGACCACGCCCCGATGGGCACGCGATCCGATTGGCCAGTCTCCGCAGAACCCTGATCTGTTCTCTGATTGGTTTGGGCAGTGACGCTCCCTCCCGAATGCCTCGCTCGGATTGGCCTATTTCTGGGGTTTGACCTGGACGGCGGCCAGAGGAGGACAAGAGACTTGGGTACGGGATGGAGAGAGAATTTGAGAGGGATGTCTGCGCCGCAGTCCACCGGCGGCGGGGCTCCAGGGAAACGGCGGCGGCCTGTGGGATGTCGGCGCTGCTGGTGGCGGCTGAGAGGACCGGGTGGTAGCGTGTCCCGAGCCTGCTGCTATGGCTGTGGCTGCGGCTGCTGCCGAGGTAACGGGGTGCGGGTGTTGGGGGGAGGGGTGCGTCCCTGCCCGGGGCGGGGCGCGCGGCGTTTGGCAGGCTTGAGCCGTGAGAAACGCACGGGGACCCGAGGGTCCAGGCAGAGGGGGAGGGCAAGAGGCAAGAATCTGCACGTCCGGGAATTCTGCTGTCAGCTCCGCCTGCGAAAGGGAGTCCCCCTGCAACCAGCCCTTCCCTTCCTTCCCCTTCCCTGCGTCCACCCTTCAGCCCGCCGCTTGCCTCAGTTTCTCCATTTACGAGGTGAGGGGAATGGCGCTGCGCCTGCCATCCTTTAAGCTCCCCTCCCCTTGGGAGCAAGAATGGGGTTGCCAGATTCAACAATAAAAATACAGGATTCTAGTTAAATTTAAATTTCAGGTAAACAACAAATAATCTTTTAGTATTAATATAGCCCGAATATGAAACAAAATTAAAATAGAAAACATTCTCTGTTATTTGTCTGAAAGTTAACTGCGTGCCCTGTTTTTTTATCTGGCAACCCTCAGCAAGAATAACACTTGGACACCTCCTAACCTTTTACAGTGAGCATTTAGTGTGCTTTCATTATAGTGCCTACATATTTTTAAATCTAATTCTTTCTGCCTAACACCGTCGCACCCTTAAGTCAGAACCATCATCATCTCTTGCCTGGTGGTCAAATGCTTTACCCTCCCACACAGTCTTCCTATTTATCTCTTCCTTTTAAAAACATTATTTTTTTATTGGGATATAATTTACATACCATAAAGTTACCCTAAGATGTACAGTTTAGTGGTTTGTAATATATATTCGCAAGGTTCAAACATCATCACTGTCTAATTCCAGAATATTTTCATCAGCGCAAAAAGAAACCTCATACCCATTAGCAGTCGCCTCCCATTCTCCCCTTCCCTCGGCTTCTGGTAACCACTACTCTACTTAACGTCTATGAATTTGCCTTTTCTGGACACCTCATATAAATGGAATCATACAGTATATGGTCCTTTTGCCTGGCTTCTGATTAGCATAAGGTTTTCAAGGTTTATCTGGGTTGTAGCATGTATGAGTATTTTATTCCTTCTATGGCTGAATACTATTCCATTGTATAGATACACTACATTTTATTTATCCAGTTTTAGGTTGATGGACAATTGGAGTTTGTTCCATTTTTGGCCATTATGAATAATGCTTCTATGAACACTTGTTTACAAGTTTTTGTGTGGACATATAGTTTCACCTTTTTTAGATGTATACGTAGGAATGGAATTGCCAGTCATGGTGACTCTATGTTTAGTTTTTTGAAGAACTGCCAAACTGTTTTCCACGGTGGCTGCACCATTTTACACTCCCATCAGCAGTGGGGTTCAAATGTCTCCACATCCTTGCCAATGCTTGTTGAGAGATATTGGTCTCCAGTTGTCTTTCTTTCTTTAATTCTTTAAGTCGTAGAATTCTTCAGTGAAAACATCTTGACCTGAAGATTTCTTTTTTGGAAGCTTTAATTACAAATTTATTTTTTTAATGGTTATAAGACTATTCATATTATCTATTTTATGTTTGTTTTTGGTAGGTTTTCAAGGAATTGATCCATTCTTTTAAGTTATTAAATGTAAGAGCTGAATTTATGAGGAATCATTGAAAGTTTTGATATTAGTATATCTCTAAAATAGGCATATGTCATGCAATTAATTACATAAGTATAGGTAACAAAGACACAATTAATTACATAAGTATAAGTAACAAAGACACAAATAGTCATGCTGAGTAAGAGCTAGAATGTATGGAAATACTACAGACCATTAATCTGTGGTAGAGTGGCAGTTTCTGAAGTGTATAGCATTTCTGGTCTTTTCCCTTTTTTTTGTAATTTGATACATAAAAATATAATACTAAGTATATTGCAGATTTTAATAAGGGTGTGTTAAAGTGAGATTTATTTAAATTAACTTTTTTTTCCACATCCAGGAATTGAGCCTATAGTAGAGCTTCCTCCCTCACCTTATTCAGGTCTCTGCTCAGTTGTCACCAATTCAGAGATTCCTTCCCCACTTCCCCATTTGAAATGGGACTCCTATTTACTTGTTTACTGAATGTCTCCCTCACTAGAAGGTAAGCTCTGTCAGGAGAAGGACTTTATTTTGTTCCCCTGCTGTGTCCTACAGTGTCTAGTACCTAGAAAGTCTTAACTATGTGGTTGTTAAATAAATGCATCTTTTTCAGGTTCACACAACTGGTGTTGCCTTTGGTCCTATTTATTGGGGTGGCTTCGGGTTATCCTGTACACTTCTCATTCCTCCTATCAAGGTGTAAAATTCAAATCTTAAATTTGGAAAGAAGCTCCTTTGAGGTTGTCTAGTCCAGTCCCCTCCCAGTGCAGCAATCCTGCTGCTGTGTAGTCTCTGTATTTTGTGGGAGTGTTCTGAGTGACAAGGCTTATTACTCATTACTTAGGACTTAGTGCTCCCCTAACGTGAGCCAGTCAGTTGTTTTCACCCCACTGCTCTGTGACCTCCTTGTCATACCATAATTCAGTTTTGAATCCTACAAATCCATAGTTTAGTAGAGCATATGCTCTGTAAGTGTTTTTCTTGAAAATTCTGTTTTACCACTCGTGAGAGGCCGTGTTGTGCTTCCTCTTCTCAGGTGGTCAGGCTGCACAGCACACTGACTTCTTATTCCGCCTCTCAGGCCACCCAGAGTCTGAGGCTGGAAGTGAGCACACGAGAATCTTTCAGTATCACAATGATCCAATTCCCCTCAAAGGGCCTCAGCCAGGCAAGCTTTCTGCCAGGCAGCTCTGGGTCTCATCCTCAAGGAGAAAGCTGGGACCGATGCTTTCAAAATTCAGACATGACACAAGGTAAAGAATGCTTTTATGTTTCCTGGTCATCAAGTTTTATCAAGTTGATTATCAAGGTTTTTTTGAAACCTGATTGAAACCTGCTTCTTTGACTTCATTTTCTGCTGTCGTGTTTTATTACCAAGTAGAGCTTTCTACACATCGTGGGCACACACATAAAGGCTGAAATATTTCCCTAACATTGTAGAAATGGGTCTCTCTCACCCATACACCAGGTCTCCCTGCACCCTGTGCTGATGCCTTCCAATTTATTCAGCTCGTTCCTCCTCCTGGTCCACCTCGCTGTAGCCTCTGTACCTGCTGCAACGTTCTTGGACACTGGGACTAGAGACAGAGCTCTGCTGCAGGGGCTCTGGCTGGCTGGCTCCTGGTTTCTCCTTCTAAACCACACCCTGGAGACTCAGATGCCCTTGAGTTCCCCATGACTTAATGTTGAGTTATTTCCTCTCTATCATTCCATGATTGAATGTTTATCTGCGTGAACACCTCAGCACCTCATAGTATCATAGATCTGAGCATAGGCAGGACTACAGCCGGGACTCATCTTGGCTGCCACATGTGTGTATTGCCCCTCTCTCACCCCTTAGCATCTCCACTAAATTACTGCCAGCTCTTTCTAAGACCTCAGGAGGCTGGAAAGCCATTACCTCATGAAGTACTTTTTTATTCAGCTCTCCATTAGAAAGTTCTTCCCTCTAAATTGATCCAGAATATGTGCTCTCCCAAATAAACCTCATAATTTTTATTCAGGCTAATTCTGATCTTTGGAGCAAAAGAGAAAAAAATCTAATTTATTCATCTCATATTTAAGATTGTTAATTTCCAAATTCATTAATAAATTCTCACTGAATGCTTATTGTATCATCTTTTATCTTCTTACAGTAAATGAAAATACATCTACATGTTTTTCACCAGGGATTCTTGGCCTGAACAAACTTAGTATAAATTGGTCCATCCAGAACTTTCTTTTTCATTATTGTGCATGCATGCAGAGTTTTTGTTTGAAATTAAACAGTAACTAGGCTGGCAGATATGGTTTGCAGGGCTGTATCTCCACAGGCTGAGAAACTGAAGCTTTCTTTCCTTCAGGGTAGACAGCCCAAGCCCTTTGTGTTCTTAAGTTTAAAGTGCAGTTTTGAAAACTGCAGTGTTCAGAAATTAGTTGGGAAGCTTTGTTGTTTCTGATGGATGCTGTTGTCCAGGAGGGGGGAATTCCCTCTCTATCCTTGAGTTCCTGTGGCTGAACTGATAATAAAATTGGCACACGATCAGATTAACAGGAGAAAAAGCAAGTTAATATGTGTGCATATAGATAATCAGTGACGCTCTGAGAAATGATGACCACCCAGCTTTTTATACTTTTTTTAGACAAAAACAATGTATTGGTGAAGAATTGACAAGATAAATACACTTAGGTGTGGGTGTTCATTAGTGAGGGATCTAAACACTGTTTGGGCTTGGGTAACAAGGTTTGTTTCTGTAAGCTTTTTGGCCCTGGATTCCTTAACGCTAGTGATAAGGGTGTTTCCCTCAGCTCCCCTGTAGCAAGGAGGCACCTTTAACTGCAGAGACTTATTTCCTGCAGTCAAGGCAACAAGCAAGGGTCAATGGGCCTTTCTTGCACCAACTGCTTGTCAAGTAATTTTAATTCAAAGTTATCAAAACGCCACTGTGGAATATTTTGGGGTGGCCTGCCCTGGGCCCCAACAAATCTGTAGGCTTTAAGGTCAAGGCTGTATTAGTCAGTTTCCTATTGAAAAGACACTTATTTTTAAAGTGAATGGTAAAAAAAAATAAAATAAAAAATAAATTGAATGGTAATCAGTGATTACATATCAGAACAATTTGCCTCGGAGCTGTGAAGACAGAGCTTGTTTCACTTCTCACATGCCTTACACATAGAAGAAGAATACAGGAAATGTTCCTTTTAGTTCTTTGATTATCTAGCTGGTATCTTTATGAAACTGAGGATCCCAAGTTTGAAAAAGCACAAAAATCTAATTAAAAATAAGAAACTTAAAAGGACTCTATCATGAAGTAGTTTGATTAGTTGTACACTTGGAAGTGACTCTGTGTTGTGCTGTATAAAAGCTGTTTGCAGACCAGAGTTCTAAACTAAATATGAGCAGCGCAGAATCTAGCCATGTGCTTCCGGAGTCATTTGATGGAGCCTTTATTTCTACAACATAATAATTTAAAGCTTTTGACTTTTAGATCCAAAAGGAAATTCTGGCACTTGAATACTGTCTGGGAACAACTTGTCATGCCTGCTTTGTGGAATTGATGTTCAAAATGAAATGCAAAAAATGCAGACTGTCACAGCACATACCCGGAATTGGTACTCCAGGGAGAACAGGATATGTAAATAGAGGATATCTTTGTAAGTATTACCATTATTTTTCCTAAGGCATTTTAAACCAGTGATATGTGGGGTATGGGAAAGAGAAATAATTAGCCTAATTGTTTAAGCCAGTTGCCATCATGAATATCTAGAGATGATGCTAAGACTTTCCTGTAATAGACTTTATTTTTTTTTAGAATGGTATTAGGTTTACAGACAAATTGAGACAATGGTACAGAGAGTTCCCACATACCTTGAACCTAGTTTCACATATTATTAGCATTTTATATTAGTATGGTATATTTGTTAAAATTAATGAACCAACATTGATACATTATTAAAGTCCAGAGTGTATTCAGATTTCCTTAGTTTTTACCTAATGTCTTTCTGTTCCAGGATCCCACCCAGGTTACCACATTACATTTAATTGTCATGTCTCCTCTTGGCTGTGACAGTTTCTCAGATTTTCTTTGTTTTTGATGACCTTGATCGTTTTGAGGAGTGTTGGTCTGATAGTTTATAGAAGGCCCTACATTTGAAATTTGTCTGATGTTTTTCTTAAGGTTAGACTGGGGTTAGGGGTTTTGGAAAGGAAGATCACAGAAGTAAAGAGCCATTTTCTCTTTCTATCAAGGGTCTGACTGTTGATCACATGGCTGAGGTAGTATTTGTGAGGTTTCTCCACTGTAAAGTCCCTCTTCCCCCTCCCATCCTGCAGTCTTTGGAAGGAAGGCTCTACGCACAACCCACACTTAAGTAAGACTTATTTTTTTAATTTTCCAAAATGGATCAAGATGCTTGTTTTCGATGAAGCAAATAAAGATGTTGAGCCAAGGGGTAAAGAGTCAAATCCATGAGATTTACCAGAAATGAAATACAAGTATTGAGGTGTGATGTGATTTTGCTGTAGCTGGCGGGTTAGGTTAATTGTTACAATATAGCTGTGAAGTGCTATATTGTCCTTTCCCCTGCTGAAAGCAAGTGTTTCCTACAATCTCTGTCTGGCTTATTTCTGTAGTAAGACAGGGACGCTTGGTCTCAAACATTATTTCTCCAAGTATTATTATGAAAACTGTTATGTCTGCTTAATTGATGTGTCAACATAGTCATTGTCTCTCTTTAAGGTTGTGCTGCTTTCTGCCTGATGCCAGCGGATCTGTTGCAAATTCATTAGATCCATTTCAAATTCTAGTGAAGAAGAAGTGACCTTGAAAGGATCAGTATTTTAAATAATTTTGAAAGAGGGTAATGTTTTTCTAATTGATATACCTAAAAATTATAGCCAGGACTTTTTTTAACCTTATTAAACTCAGTGCTAAAATGGCAGAACCTACTATCATGTCCAGTCATTTGTTGTGAAGCTAGTAAACACAAGCAGAAAAACAACAGGTATAAGATGAACCTCTTTTTTTTTTTTTTGTAAGTCCAGGTTAATTTGTTCTAAGATTTGGTACAATAATATCTGTATTTAGGCAGAATTAATAGAATTTCTAATTGATCTCTTCCACTGGTAGGGATGAGAGAATCAAATGGCTTTTTACTGCAACTCTGAGATGAATTAATATTTTCCTCTCTGAAATACTGTAGGGAAAGAAATTGTATGTTGTTTGTGACTTACGAGAGGCCAGCAGGCTGTTCTTTTTCAGAACACGAAGCAAAGGTTGACTGGCTTCTGAGAAAAATCCATGCCAGGAATTTTAATTTCTGATGTGATAAGGGCAGCTATTCCCCATATTGCTAATTAAGACACTGTTAACATCTAATTATTTCCTTAATAAACGGAAGCAGGATCTAGTTACAATGTAGCTGTGAAGTGCTGCGTTGTCTTTGGCCCCTGCTCAAAATAAAACTGTTTCCTTTCTAGCCCTGTGGCCAAGGTGCTGTAGCCGCCAGGGATGCTTGGTCTCACACATGTTTCCCAGTTTAAATGCTGAAGCAACCAATGACTCTTGAGGATTAAGTCTGTTAATATATTGCAGGTGGTGACAGAAATCGACATTATCAAGAGGGAATTCAGGTAAGGGACAAACCACATTTTTATTACTATGACTTACTGGGGTTTCAATTCCTTATTTAATTATAATATTTATCTCCCAAAAATTGGTTTTGAGGGGAAGATTTTAAGTTGTCTTTGTCAGCTCAAGTTATATGGGAGGATAAAAACCACACTCGAAAGCGAGCTATATGCTATCTTTGCAGTTCATTACTATCCGTGGCCCAGAAGAGTGCGCAGCCATTGATTTTGAATCAGAATGTGAATATATACTATCGCATCTCTGGCTCATGATTTTATGTACAACTAGTGTCAATGGTTGTTGACTTGGATCTGCCCACTACTTGTAAAAACTATATTCTTAGTTGAGTATTTGTCATCTTCATTGAATTACTTGCTTTTATTCCAGTGAATTAAAGCCATGTATCACTTTTCGAGTGTGATTTTGTGACCCAGACAACCTTGAAAATCAGATAAAATGAACCAAGAAAATAATCTTATCACCTAGTAACATGATAAGATATATTTAAATTGTACTTTGGGAAGATTTGTGGTTGATCAGAACACAGTGGGAAAGCAAATGTGAAATAAAAAGTCCAGATTCGGGACTTTATACAGCTGATATTCAAAGGAAAAGTCAATAATGCTGTTAGCTCTGGTTGTTTTAACTTGTACAGGTTTTTGGGGTTTTTCCTTTTTTGTCATGTTGCTCAAATCTTGTGCTTTCTTGGTGATTCCTCTATAACCTGGATTTTTCTCAGCGTTTTCTTGTAACAATTTATATTGACCCTGGCATAGATCCTAGTGGCTTTATCATTAAATTTAATTATGTCTTGCTACTAATGTAAAAATAACTTTGTTTTAAAAAATATAATAGTTGATAAGAGTAGATGACAAAGTGGTGTTCAGAAATGGCGTTGACTTAATTTAAGACATAGTTTCATAAGTGAAACAGCATGTTCTTTGGATAAAGAAAATCAGTGTTTCCATATTTGTTTTTCTCTTGTTCTGTTTAGTTGATATTTTAAGTTGCTCCAGCCACTTGGTTGTATTGTGTGTCTCGGTGGAGAGCTGTGGTGGTAATCATATTTCAGTCTTTTGTGTTACCATGTATGAGGTGATCAGAAAACAGTGATAAATATGGGTTACCACAGAAAATTTTTGGAGGTTCCTCTCCTCACCACCATGTACTGGGAACGTTTTAAGTGCTGGGTCAAGTCTGTCCAGTGGAACTTCCTGCAGTGATGGAAATGCTCTTGTCTGTGCTGCCCACACAGCAGTGACAGGCCACGTGTGGCTACTGAAATGTGGTTAATGCAACTGAGGAACTGAAGTTTCTATTTTATTTTAATTAAACTTAAATAGCCACATGGGGCTAGTGACTATTGTATTGGACAGCATAGTCTTAAATAATAGTTAAAATTCCAGAGTTTATATTTGCAGTTTATCATTCCAACTGTGTTCAAATGGGCTACATAACTGTTCTTTTTGTTCTGTCCCTGGTGTTTACGTCTGTCCCAGGCTGACACCTGCTCTTGGCCACTTTGGTGTGGGATTTAATTTCACTGCCCCAAACACAATACCGTCATCTGCTTTATAAATAATAATGCTGAAGATGCCTGATAGAATCTGCTCTTGGAGCCAGATGTGTTCTTTGGCACTAACTACAAAAGAAATCTTTTCTTTTTCCCTTGACATTGTGATGAGTATCTGGTGCTCCGATTACAGGTACTCTGTGTACTATCTTGGCAAATAAACCACCACTGATGGTTAACAAGTAGCTCATATTGTTAGTAGTTCACATAGTATTTGGTAAGTAATATTCATATGAATAATTTTTCTTCTGTTCAGAATTGGCAGGTGGAGGAACATTTGGGAGGAAAACTGTGGCCGTTAGCATTGAAGAAGACAAGAGGATTCTTCAGGACACTGAGACTTCCCACCACACTGTAGTGGAGGACTTTTTTTTCAATTGAATTTATTGGAGTGACACTGGTTAATAAAATTACACAGGTTTCAAGTGTACATTTCTATGATACATTATCAGTATATTGCGTTGTGTCCCCACCAACCAAAGTCCAATCTTCCATCACCATATATTTGACCCCCATTACGCGTTACTGTCCCCCTAACCCCTTTCCTCTGCTTACAACTATAATGTTGTCTGTGTCTATGAGTTTTTGTTTGGTTTTTGTTTGTCTATTGATTGCTTTCTGTTTTGTATCTTACATATAAGTGAAATCATATGATTCTTGACTTTTTCTGTCTGACTTATTTCACTTAGCATATATTCTCAAAATCCATTCATATAGTCACAAATGGCATTATTTTATCTTATGTCTTAGTAGTATTCCATGGTAATTATGTACAACTTTTTTTTTTTTTAATGTACCTTTATTGATTTCAGAGAGAGGAAGGGAGAGGGGGAGAGAGAGAGAGAAACATCAATGATGAGAGAGTCACTGATTGGCCGCCTCCTGCACGCCCCCGACTGGGGACCAAGCCTGCAACTTGGGCATGTGCCTGACCAGCAATCGAACCACGATCTCCTGGATCCTAGGACTATGCTCAACCACTGAGCCATGCCCAGCAGGGCTATATACAACTTTATATGCAGTTATCGATTGAAGGACACTTTGGTTGTTTCCATGTCTTGGCCACTGCGAATAATGCTGCAGTGAACATAAGGGTGCATTTATCTTTACAAATAAATGTTTTCAAATTTTTTTGGTAGATACCCAGAAGTGAGTTTACTGGGTCATATGGTAACTCTATTCTTAATTTGGTGAGGACCCTCCATACTGTTTTCCATGTGGCTGTACCTGTTTACATTGCCACCAGCAGAGAATGAGGGGTGTTTTTTTCTGTCCACAACTACTCCAACACTTGTTTTTACATGTCTTGTTGATAACAGCTATTCTGACTGGTGTGAGGTGGAATGTCATTGTAGTTTTGATTTGCATTTCCCTAATAGTTAGCGAAGTTGAGCATCTTTTCATATACCTGTTGGCCGTTTGTATGTCTTCTTGGGAGAAGTATCTGTTCAGTTCCTCTGCCCATTTTTTAATTAAGTTGTTCATTTGTCTGGTGTTGAGTTGTATGAGTTCTTTAAATATTTTGGATATTAACCCCTATCAGAGCTGTTGTTTGCAAATGTCTTCTCCTGGTTGGCTGGTTGCCTTTTTGTTTTGTTCCCTGCCTTTGGTGTTCCATCTAAAAAGTCATCTCTAAACCCAAAGCAATCGAGATTTTCTCCTATGTTATCATCTAGGAGTTTTACAGGATGGAGTTTTACATTAAGTCTATGATTTACTTTGAGTTAATTTTTGTGAAGGGTGTAAGGTCTGTGCCTAGAATTTTTTCTTTTTGCATGTGGATGGCCAATTGTTGCAGCACCACTTGAAAAAACTGTCTTTACTTCATTGCGTTGTCTTTGCTCTTTTGTTTCTAAGAGCAGATAACTATAGCTGACTGGATATATGTGGATCGATTTCTGGGCTCTTGTAAGGGAAACAATTTTTCTCCTTTACTCCCAAAATTCTACTCACTGATTACTTCACTTCTGGCACTTCTGGTCATTAAATGTGGGGGGTTTTCCCACATGAAGTAATTCTGTGATACCAGCGAGGTGTCCCACAATTTAACTCAATTCTGGCACTAACTAACCCAGAGATAGCATCAGATCCCACAGGTTGAGGGCTCAGTCCCACAAGGCTGCCCCTTTCTCACACACTTAAGATGCCAAACGCAACTCCAAGTTGTTGCTTCTGCTTCTGACTGGCTATAGTTGGAGATTCCCATGACCCCCTTCTCAGGTTCTGTTAATTCACTAGAGTAACTTACAGAACCCAGGAAAACATTTTACTTACCAGATTAGGAGTCTGACATAGACAGATATAATTCAGGAATATCCATATGGAAGAGATGAACAGGGGAATGTATGGGGGAAGGGACATGGAGCTTCCACTCACCCAGCACATCCATGTGCTCACCAACCCAGAAACTCTTCAGACCCAGTACATCTGAGTTTTCATGGAGGCTTCTTTATGGAGTCTCAATTGATTAAATCATTGGCCACGGTGATATATTCAACCCTTAGCCCCTCTCCCAACCCTGGAGGTCAGGGGGTGGGGCTGAAAATTTCAACTCTCCAATAACATGGCTGGTTCCCCTGGCAACTACCCTCCGTCATCAGGGCTTATCCAAAAGTCATCTTATTAACTAAAACTCAGGTGTGGTTGCAAAAGGTAACCCTCCTCAGTTAGTGTAGTTAGGAAGTTTCAAAACCAAAACCTCCCCCCCAGAGCCCCTTGAATTGTTTATACACTGTTTACATCAATCTGAACTAAACTCCCAGGATAGTACTGATGGATGAGGGGAAGACTTGGGAGAGGTCACCTCTCTTAGAGTACCCAGCTTCCCTTTTATGACAAAAGAACAGCTGAACTCCTCCAAATTGAACACGGTCACTGGGCGGCCTTTCCCAACCAAAAGCAACAGCACTTCCATGTTCTAAATTCATTAGTTACAACTAAGCAATGTTGCCCCCAACTCTGGCTTTGAGAATGGAGACCACGCACATGCAGTTGACGCCCACTCCTGATTTGCAGCCTTACAGCTTCTCCAGAGCACATCTTCTAGCTTCCGTATTCCAAGTGCAGGACAGGGGACTGCAGAAGCCCATGGACCTGCCCTGCCTGGAGAAAGAAAATGCTGGGCCTCCCAGGAAACAAAGCGATCCCCACAATGCTTGCAAAGCTCAGCACGTCCACACAGAATGCTGTGGGTGCAGCTTCCTTTGTGTGCCCACAGCTCGGTTCAGGGGCCAGTCTACAGGCTGGAAACTCCAGGGTCATCCCCCTTTGGGGCCAGATTTATTGTGTAACCTCAGGCACCCCTCACTGCACTCTGATTTGGTGACTTCATCTGCAAATTGGAGGTGCTATAATGTATTGTTAGTGAGGGGGTATAGAAGTTACAGATGACCCAGAGCCTGCTGAGAACAGGAAACAGGAAAGACTGGGAGAAAACAGGACAGAGACCTCCTTAAAGGAAAACATGCAAATATTTGGATTATCACTTGGGTTTGCTTCTGTTGGGACTGAGAAGGAACAGATGCCCTTAATACTCTCTTTCCTAATAGACACAGTAGTCAGAAGAAAGAACAGAAGTAGGAACATCAGAAAGAAGGTGGCAGACCCCACCCCAAATACTTCTCAGGCTGGAAACTGTGCCCCTCAGTTACTCAACAATATTTCTTCCCAAGCAGCTCTTTAAACTTTTCTGGGGAAAAAGCGAGTTAGTGCACATAGAGGCTACGAGTTTCCCTAAAAGACCCAATTCTTTTCTAATTCACCCATGCTGCCAACTCATTTCTTTGTTGAGTCCACATTTGTGATCCTAAAATATCATGCAAACCTGCTACAATTTTGAAGTTTTAATGAAGATGGTGAAGTCTGCACTTTAAGTTCAAGTTAAACAGCCTTGGTGTCCAGTGTTTCAATGAATCCTACAAGTATCTGTGCACACGCTACAGAAATAGTTGTGCCAGGCAGGGTGGGAGCGGTGAAGCAGTAGTTATAGTCTCCAGTCTGAAAGCATCTACAGTCTGGTTGAGACAAGACTCATGGTGCCCACATGAAAGCACAGTTCCCATGGGTGACAATCAATGTTTAAGGAACCCTTATTTTATGGTGTAAACACCATTGTGTTCACATTTCCTCCCCGTTACACACAAGACAACTTACCAGCAAGAAAGTCCTTTATGTGGCTTCACCTGGACCTTCATTTCCTGTAAGTTCTAAGTTCTAGCACATACTCTCCAGTCCACTCCCTCTTCAACCACAACCTCTATATATTCATTTAGAACCCTCTGCCCACCCCCTGCCCGGCCCCGAACCCCTTCACCCCACTCAGCAAGCTCCTGACCTTCTTACCCACCTCCCTGCCTCAGGTGAGGAACCATCTGGCCCCTTTGCCCTCCCCTCCTTGGCTCCTGTCCTTCCCCCCAACAGCCCCAGACCTCAGGTCACTCCGTCTTCTCTGCTCCTACAACACCTGCCAGGCTGCTGGAGAAGCGTGTGACACACAGGCAGGCAGCATCCCTGCAAATGGCCATATCCAGCTGTGGGCAGGGCACTCCATGCTGTGCGACTGTCCTTCACTTGTCCTGGACCTACCCCCTCTCCCAGTCGCCTCCCCAGCCATGCTAAGTCTTCCCCGTCTCCCAGGACCTGTCCTCACTCAGCTGATGTGTTTACTCCCTGCCTCATAGAGAAAGGAGAGGACACCACACACTGTCTGCTTCCCATCCCCACGTGTGTCATGGGTTTCCCAGCTCCCCGACCCTCTCCATTCCCTCTCTAAGGCACCCCGAAGGTCTGGGCCGGGACTGGGGAGAGACAAGTGAGACACTCATTTGAGGCACAACATTTAAGGGGGCATGAAAAAGTACAGTAATCAAAGTTAATCATATTTACACGGAAATCTCTTTTTAAAAATCAGAAGTAATGCGAAAATGCACGATGAACAAAATGCTAGAATTTAAATAGAGAAAGGATCCAACCCTGCATTTGCCCAGCCCTGCCTCACTCGCCTCACTCCAGTCCTGTTGCTGACTGTGTGTAGCCCACTGGATATGGGCTGAATATTTCAGACCAGCAAGTAACCTTGATTCTGCATTCATCTATACATAAGGGAAACAAGGCTTCACAGAACGACACACCTACTATTCCAATACATATTTTCACTTAAAAAAAATTCTAACAGCAACCCACTAAAGGATTCCGTGAACCACTGAATGGAGATCTGCATTGAAGAAACCACCAGTAGAAGGATCCGAAGTTCTCTCCTAATGGAAAGGGACCATCTCACCCTCTGAGCATTGCCAAAGCAAAAACATCATAGCAGCGCAATTTACAATAGCTAAGAGCTGGAAACAGCCCAAGTGCCCACCCGTAGATGAGTGGATTAAAAAGCTGTGGCACATTCACACCATGGAATACTATGCAGCTGTAAAGAAGAAG